CATAATTTTTAGCAAATTATGCCAATTGAACAATAACAGTATGATCCAGTTTAAGAACACATCCATCACCTTACAGTAGAGCATAAAACAAGCCATGATAAATGTAAAAGGAATGAAATAAAGAAAAATCTCCAAGTAAACCAGAATTAAATTAGAGATCAAGAACAAAAAAAGTTGGGAAATCCCCAAATATTTGAGATTACACAACACATTTATAAACAACAAGAATCAAGGAATCATTCAGATATAGAATGTTTCATATACATTAGCTTCTTTGTCATCTTCGCTAAGCCCTAGTGAAGGTCCTAGTGAAGAATGTATGGATAGCAAGTTGCTGTTTCTTTGGATTTCTCCTATGTTTTGGCTGAAATCTAAACATTTTAGATGATATATTTTAGTAACTCCAAATCTTAATTTAGTTCTCTGAGCATCTTTTTATTACTGTTGGCTTTTGGAATTTGGGGTTTGTTTGCAACTTGACTGGACTTAATCCACATAATCTTCCTCCTGTTGTTTATGACTGCTGGTATGTCTGCTCAATTCTTCTGACTTTTATTTGTTAGCATGGCTTTCTAGGCTTTCACCTGTCCCTGCCTGGCTTATAAGGCAGTCAGTGATATGCTGTGTTAGCATGTGTCATGTTCACAAGGCTTCCACCTTCTGTGATGGATATGTGTGTGGGAGAGCCCATTCAATGTTCATCCACTCCTCAAATCTCTCTCTTACCTTTTAATGTCCGCTCTATTCCCTTGAGTCTCCCCTGTATATGTTCAAAGTTTCCTAGTCAGCCACAGATGTGTACAGAACTTACCTAATTCTGCTGTATCCTCTCCCAGGATCTGGCTTAAACTTCTGGCTGGTTTGCCACTCATTCCAATTTCCCATTTACTTTCTATGGGAATTTGTTTCTTACCATACTTGCCATGTTTATCTAGCAAAGCTAAAAGTTTTAACTCCCCGCACCAAATCAGCTGTCCTCTGACAGCACAGCTACTCGTTTTGCAGCCATCTACACTCTGGTAAAGCTCCAGGTCTCAAGCAACCACACTTGAGGGGATGTTTGTATGTGCATGTGGAAGCAGGGAAATGGTAGTACCCGCACGCAGCAGGCCCACAGGTAAGTGCTGTTCTTACTGAAACCCCACCAGTTTTTCAAGAACAAATGCTTGATTTTTTTTATACCTTTAGTCTATGTCAGAGCCCTGAAATAGTTATTTCTGAGAATTTTGTTCAGCCAGATACACTAACCTGTATGTGCTACCATAGCCAAAGTATCTCATGTCATTTCTTTGGATGTTAGAATTGTTCCTTTTCACCTTCCATTTATTTCAAGATATCTGTTGTTTACTCATTCTTTTCTTCCTTCTCATTTAACTTTTCTTTGTGAAATGATTTTTTTATTTCAATTTTTTTACAGTCTTCTTTCTCTTTCTCTCTGAGTGTTTCTAATTCTCATTTATAGTGCCCTTTTATTTTCATTGAGCTCATTTTGAACTGTTTGGTTACAATTTTTATCTATTTTGTCAGCATGTTTTTGTGGCATGCCTTTATTATTCAAGAAGATGTTATTCTCATTTCTAATAACATTGTATTCTATTCCTTCTATATTGCACATTTTTATATAAAATTAGTTTACTTAAGATTTTAGGAAAGAGTGGTGAGCATAGTTTTTCTATTTTCTCTGGAAAAATAGATTTTAGAGATTCTACTTCAGTTGTTTTTACAAAAAAAATCAAAATACTTTCTGAGATTTGCTTCCCCTGCTGTTGTCCTTTCTTTTCTGACCCTCTCTTTATTTTACATTATTCTTCCCATCTTGCTTAGTTTACATCCTCATTTCAGTAATTTAATTTTTGTGAGTCTTTATCTAGGAAAAAAAGCGTAGGTTATGGTCTTTGTTTTGTTTTAGTTTTAAGCATTCATATGCCTAAGACTGCTTCAACCTTCTCACCTTACAGTGCATCCCACATTGTCGTTGAGTTAACTGTGCAAACTTCTCTCACTTGCAGCTGCCTTCTTCAGACTGGCCTGCCACCCTTTCTAACAAATGCTTGCTAGATATATTGGCGCTCAGTCTGTTGCTTTTCTTTTCTTCCTTCCACAGAACTATTGATGCCACATGGTACTTAAAGCTATTGATGCTGTCACCATCTGCTCACATTTTGCTGTTCATGTAGATAATTTATTACCAGGTATTTTGTAAATATTGTCTGGGTTGTTTTGTTATAATGGTTAATTTTGCCATCCTAGTTGTTCTATTTTTATGGTAGGATTCATATAGTTTCAGAAACTGCTGCAGGAATTCCACTTCAACTATCACCCAATTAAATAGTTAACTCAATTCTTCCCCAGAAAGCCACTATAAACAATGGCCAAAACACAAAAAACAAAGGCACTGAAAAATAATCAAAAGCAGGCAGATTATAAGGAGAGTGGAAACAAGGGAACAACAGATTGTTACCCATTCTCTGTAATGTTTAGCCTAAGGGCAGGCTTAGAGGAAATTTCATTTTTCTTGTCTGTAAAACCAGAGGACAGGTTTTTTGGATAGGCACCATTTAGGTACTGAGGGAGAAATCCCTGAAGGCAGAGCAAAAGTCCAGCATTTGGTATTTCAACCCTATCCAGTTATCTGGCTGAGCCATAAATCATGAATGCACAATATGTAGTCCAGCTCAGTATAGAAGGACTAAACTTTCATTTTATCTGCTGCTAAAGAGACAGATTTTTTTGAGTTCAGCCAGGTTAATAGACCACTAAAAATATATGTATATATCTGCCCTTTGGAAGACGGTAATAGAATTTAGAGTCTATAAAATATAATAGCCAATATCCAAAGTTACTAGACATAAGACAAAAAAGGAAAGTAACTCTTTTTAAGGATAATCAATAAGGAAACCAATTTCAAATATTTGAATATTGAAATTTGACATAGGATTTATAAGCAGTTTATGTAATTGTGCTAAAGACCACAAAGGAAAATATGTTCACAATAAATGAAAAGATAGGAAATCTCAGCAGAGAAATAAAATTCTGTACCTGAAAATAAAAATCAGTAAATGGCTTCTACTGCAGACTGTCCATAGCAGAGCAGAAGTAGGAATTAATGAACTAAGATATTTCAATAGAAAATATCCAATCTGAAAACTGGTAGGAGGTTGAAAAACGTGAACAAAACCTCAGGGATCCATGAGACCTTATCAAAAGGTTTACTGTATTTATAATTGGAGTTTCAGAAGAAGAGTGGGTAGGGAATGTGGCAAAATATAATAATAATAAAGAAATGATTTCTGAAAACTTTCCGAACTTGGCAAAGATGTAAATGTAGATATTTCAGAATCTCTGCAAATCCACTAATGAAAATATATAAAGACAACCTCTTGCAGACATATAACAGTCAAATTGCTGAAAGCTAAAAATGGAAATTCTAAAAAAGAAGGAGTGCACTGATACTTTTCTTACAAAAGAAACAAAAATATACATGTTGCCTGAGTTACCAGAAACTATGAAGGCCAGAAAACAGTGGGAACATCATTAAAATACTGAAGTTAAAACTGTCATTCCAGACTTCTATATCCAACAAAATTATCCTTCCAAAATAAAGGTGAAATAAACACATTTTCAGGGAAAAGAAAACTAAGATAATTCTCTGCCAGGAGATCTGAACCACAAGAAATATTAAAGGAAATTCCTGAAGTTGTATAAGTTATGTAAAGTTGTATATGATAAGTATTTTATATTCTTCTTCTCTTACATATAGGAAACATTTAATGTGCCTCATTTGAAGATCAGTCTTAAACAGTTAGCTGCACTTATTTATTAATCATAATGTTAATAGTGGGATTATTATCAATATGTGACATGTACTCTTCTAAGTACTTTATGTTCAGTATCTTGTTTAACCCTCTCCACTTAAGTCTGAGAATAGGTATTATTATTCCCATTTTTACAAATGAGGAACGTGAGCTTATTGATCATTGGCTTGTCTAAACTCAGGCTCCTGATACGTGGTAGAGCCATGATTCTAGACTCCTCTCACTTACATTTAGTCCTATTTTTCTTTGCCTCCCATATTCTAGTACACTTACACTGATAAAATATTTATTGAAAGAACATATAAATTCATCTAGTAGTGAAATTGGTAACTGTCCTCTCTCTTTAAATGCACATTTCAGAATACTTAGTATCAGCCCTTTGTTAAATTTGTTTTTCCTGTCAAATGTTGGATAATTAAGGCAGAAAAATAACAGCTACAATCTGAAAAACATTTTCTCAAGCCATGGAATAAAACCAGCGCCCATAATTTGAACTAATATTAAGACACTATTCTACTGATTGGAGCAGTTAGGTTAAGATTACTGAAAAACTGAATATTTTATTCTTGGCCTACCTAATGATGATAATTATTGAATTTTGACACCAGCAGTTTTATTATATAAAAAACATGAATAGGGAACAAGTGAGGTCTGGGCAGTTAGAATGGGAATATTCATGAGGAACCTGTGAAATAAATCTCCAATCTCTCCTGAAATGTTCTTTATATCTTCTAGGAAGAGGACAACAGTTTTCACCAACTTCTATTATGATGTTCTGACTAAAATTTGAACTTGATGTGTAGCCTGGAGAATGAAATAGTAACAAGGATATAACAATATAAAAACAACAGCAACAATAGTAATAAAGCATAATAAATAAAATCAGAGTAAAATAAAAGAATTACACTTTATAGATATTTACTGACTTTGGTCATTTAAATCATTAAGTGGCTGAAGAAACTTTGTGGATATATTTGAGGTTGCCTCAACAGAGGAGGTCAGACAAGTTTTGGATTGATTTCTTATTTACGGTTACTGTGGCAAACTGTTGGCCGCCTTTCCAACAATAATTACACCTGTTTTCTTCTGTAACAAAGCCAATTTTTGTTCAGATACAGTGAAGACAAATGTTTCATGGGGTAAATTTTATTTAAGCCAATTTGAAAATTCTGCTTCCCTTCCCAGGAATGCTTTTGGATAAAATATGTGATACAATTGTGGCAAATGAAACATTGAGGAGTTTTGCTACAATGTCCTATTCCTGAGCTATTCCTCACCTTTTAAAAGCACACATGTGACTTCATGGTTGCTGTTGCGTTACCTCATCTGAGTCATCTCAGTGGGCACAAATTCAAGAAGATGCCTGTGCTGCTCAGAAGGTGGGATGGTGTGAGGTCAAGAGCTATAAAATTTACTTGGCAGTGTCTGATAATCTAATCTGATGATGAAGGATGTGGAAGAAGAAAACTTGAAGTATTGATGTCAAGGAAGATTGGAGAAGAGATTAATGAATGGCCTATTCAAAATCACCCCAAAACCTGCAAATATTAATTCTTATCAGAAGGATCCCAAAGATTCTGTTTTTGGATATTGGTTAATCTCCTTTTTGCAGCTGACTCAGTGCACTAATGAACAACATTGTAAGAAGGCAGAAATATAGTTACACATGGGTTCAACAATATGGGTGTCTGCACCCAGGATGACTTCATTATACAGTGCATGGAGTGCACAATTTATCAACAGTGAGTAACATTAGATACCGTTTATGGTTTAATATACATTAGGACTTGGTGGCAAGATAATTATATTGGTCCATTTCATGGTAAAGGAGAAGTAATTTGTATTCCCCAGAGTAAACTTGCATTTTGAATTTAATTATCTTTCCTTGCTATTCATGCCTATGCTCAAACAACCATATATAGGTATCCCAAGTAGCTTACATACTGTGATGGTATCCCACAGAACCTGCCTGCAGACAAGGCACTATGTAAAGCAAGGCGATGAGACTATTGACCATGCAACATATATGTATATGTCTTCAAGGTGTAGCTTAAGTCTCATTTTTTTCATCAAGTCTTCTTGAATATATATCTTTGAAAATTATTACCTCTTCTGAATTCATAGCCCTTACATTTTTAATATCATTCAAATTATCTTAGCACTTACTATCTTGTTCTGTCATTCAGCCTTTCATGTGTGTGTCCTGCTTCATTATTAAATTTAAGCCTTTTAAATAAAGTCTTATCTCCTTGGCTTCCCTTCGTCTAGCAGCATATTTTGCACATGCAAAGATACTAAAAGATTATTTGCTAATGACAGCCATAATGGTAGAGCCCTAAAAATACATGTGATTCCAAGGGGCATTGAAACCCCAGGTCCTCCAATCGAATTCCCTTTGTCAGAATGTTTTATTTTTGTAAAAATCTAATGTTAGATTTGGCTGAAATAATTTGAAATCTCTTTTATTAAACAGCCAAGGTCCAGGAGGACTGTAGGATCAATGGATACCCATATGGATCCTATATTACTATTTCTATCACTTATATAATTATATATTAAGTATTTATATTGAAAAAGCAGACCAACTCATTTTATTTTACCTTGTAAAGAAAAGCAGTTGCTCCTCTTCTTTATAGCTTATACTGATAGTTCTAATAACATAATAAATTTAAAACTTTATCTTTTCTCCACTGGAATACAGTTTCCATAGGGGTAGGAGTATTCCCTCTCTCTCTTATATCTCAGATGTATATATTCTATACTCTTAGAAAAGTAAGTACCTGTCATATAATAGGGATTTGATAAATAGATCATTGTTTTTGTTTTGTGTGTGTTTCTATTCTTTCAATTAAAAAAATTATCTAGAAAAAAACAGTACACAAAACAAAATTAACAAAAAAAATGAGAACATTTTTAAAGTAAATGTACTTATTTTAAAGTGGTTCTATCCTAAGAAAAATCAGAAGTTCTAAATATTGGTATCAAACTAAGAGGCAGAGATTAGAAGTCATTTTTATAGAAAAAGGCATGTAGGGATGGGGTATAAATCTCCAAATTTTCAGATTTGCTGAATCCAGAAATTACTTTCAGCAGTTCTTCCCTGTAGTGAACATTACAGAATATTCCAAATATTCTGTGAATCACAGCTATTGCCATAAGCTTATTTAGGTAAACCCAAACCTAATTTTCAACCTTGATGATAGCCTGGTTTTTTGGAGTGATTCTAGTTAGTGCCAAATGACTCTCCTAAAACTCGAACAACAGCATTTTAATGCTTAAAATATCACTTAACTGGCAGATATTGGGCTGAATGAGAGGTGTCAGGGGAATCTAGTTCATAACCTTATCTTGGAAAGTTGACTATACTGTTTATATGCTATTATATTACTTGAAAAGCCATTTGACAGAGGGCCTCTAAAGAGCTGAAGAACTTGGTATTTCCTATTTTACTAGAACTATTTCAAGGAATGACCAGTTTCATTTTGAAGTTCTCTAAGGGGTTTGGTTCACCTTCATCATTGATCTTTCTATTTGAAGTGTTCATTTACCATCCTGACATAATCTAGGGCTGCACTGCATGATGTTGACGATACGTTTGTCAGTGTGAAGAATGCAGTGCCATTGTTACAGAAATTGTACAAGAAACAGAGACCTTAATATGTACCATCTGTTTTACAAAAAAGCTCAATGTGGTAATGCATTTGCAATACCAGAAGCAATATCTCTAAGACATGAAATGAACATATGTTGTCTAAGAGCCTTCAGGCTGACATTGAAAAAGAGAAAAGATAGTACTTCAAGGCAAATACTGTCCCAGTAGAAAGACTGCCAGATCCAATATGGCTCAGCCTATTGACAAGTCTCTGGTGAACAACTTCATATAAAGATTTTCACATTGTTATGGGTTGTACAGCTCTCTGGCCCATCTTTTTAGCATAGGTAGAATAGTAGAAAACACCCTCTTTGTCACTCTGGGTACTTTTCTGTTTCAGAGCAACATATGTTATCAGAAAAGTCATGCCATACAATAAAGTACTTGAATGATTATTTCTAAAGCTGGAATAAAACTGAATCAGTGTTTTCTAATGAGTGAGCAGGAAGTTTTAAAAGCAGAGCTTAAAATGCAAATAAAAGCTATACTAAAACATCTACCTTATTAACATATACATAAATTAGGAATTTTATGAATGACAGTTTATACAATTTTCATACATGTGTACTGAATATCAACTGAAAAATTCTGACCTCGTTTTTCTAGATAAACCCTAATATACAGCTGTATTTTATAATGTGAATTTCAAGTGTTTATATATATATATATATATATATATACACACACACACACACACACATATGCATATATATACACATATGAATATTACAGTACATACATGGCCATAAGTCTGTATATGTGTGTTATATTTGTATAATTGAGCACTGCAAGAAATTACAAAGGTCAAATGATAGATTATTAAGGCCATTAGAATGAAGAATAGTTAATTAGCTTAGCAAGTGTTTGTTTGCTTATATTTCAGTTCCATAGATCCAGTATGGGTTTAACTTGTATTATGCTTAATCAGGCTTAGCTCTTCATAAACATGTCAATATGAAATATAAGCCTTACATTATAAAAACACTTGAAAAAATACAGCAGTGGACTTGCAGCCAGGAAATCTGGCTTTGAGTCTCCAATCTCCATTTATAAGGTGCATGACCTGAGGTAAATCTGACCTTGGGTCACCCTTGAAGGCTTCAATTACTTCAACTATAAAGAAGAGGGTGGAACTAAATGATCTTTGAGGTTTTTCCCAAACTTTAGAATTAAATTTTAATCACAAATACACAATCATTATACAGTTTGAAATAGCAGGAAAAAGTGTTTGAAGTATAAAGTTGAGATAACCCACTTATTTTATGTATTTTATGTGTAAAACTATACACTTATCTATAGGAAAGTCCAATTAAACAAAACATACCATAAGGAGATCTAATTTTGTCTGTCATGTTCATGACATTACATAAATTTTTGTTCATGTTCATTCTAAATCTTACTTAGGAAATAAAACCCGTCTTTGTGACTAGCCTGTTAGCTATTGGGCAGGGAAAAGGTAATAATGAGATGCCCCCGATCGAATAACAACCGTATTCCTATCCTTCCAAAGCTGTTTTAGATCTGGAAGTAGTTCTCTGATGATCATTAATATAAAGTTATTTTTTTTAATGATCATTATCTTCTATTTAAATGAACTCTACATTATTGCTCTCATGGCCTGCTGAATGTCCAAATGCAGATCCTGTTCAAGATATGATTCAAGGATGGCTCTAATCAGGAACTTTTGGCTTTTTTAAGGGTGGAATTCTAAGCACAGGGCCCAGCCTCTTCTCCCAACCCACCCATCCCTAGTGTAATTATTCTTGGGATTATGCCTCTCATAAAAGGAGGCTCTATTGTTCACTAATTGTTCTCTGGTATCTGGTACACATAGAAGCTACCAATGTAAAAAGCTATATCCAGCTTCTGAGCTGAGATTTGTGTAGGAAACTCCCACTCCCTGTTCTGAAGCTGCACTCTCCCTTCACTTACTAACTTCTAATTCCCTAATCATACTCGAAATCTAATCCCTGATCACTACCACTTCCTTATTATTACATTACGTTGTTTCTGGTATTTATGGTATATATTCTACCCTGAAGTGAATGCTCTGGTTACCCTCAAATTTAGAGCTTCATTCAGACTGCTACCTGGTCTCTTGACCTGTCAACAGTCAGGGGTTGATCTACAGGAATTCGTCTCCTCACGATGGGTCAGAGGACAGCCATTGATGAAATTCACTCCCAACCACACAAAGTTCAAAGGCACTAGCTTGAGTGGTGTGTGTGTTTATTCAGGAACATGTGGATCTGATGAGTGCGAGGAGATTGGTGCAGTATGGCACAGTTGCAAGTCGTTGACTATAATTGATTTTTAATGGGCTGGCTACCTGCCACCAGATGTTCATCAATTAGGTATGCTTTAAAAACCAACACAGCTGCTTATTTCATGCTGACTGTCAGGTGGCTGAGGTATTGTTACATAGCATAAGAAGTCAGCTCTGTGCGAGGTGACCATAGTACAGTTTGCTCTCGAGCAGTTGTGATGTAGGCCTATAATTATTAATAACACCTCTTTCTCTTTCTCACAATGTCCCTGTTTGGATAGTAAATCACATGGGCATCCTATCTATTTGTCATGCTGTTCCATGCATTGTACAAAGTTAAGTTAGACGTAGATCTTGTATTTGTGTAGGAAACTCCCACTCCCTGTTCTGAAGCTGCACTCTCCCTTCACTTACTAACTTCTAATTCCCTAATCATACTCGAAATCTAATCCCTGATCACTACCACTTCCTTATTATTACATTACGTTGTTTCTGGTATTTATGGTATATATTCTACCCTGAAGTGAATGCTCTGGTTACCCTCAAATTTAGAGCTTCATTCAGACTGCTACCTGGTCTCTTGACCTGTCAACAGTCAGGGGTTGATCTACAGGAATTCGTCTCCTCACGATGGGTCAGAGGACAGCCATTGATGAAATTCACTCCCAACCACACAAAGTTCAAAGGCACTAGCTTGAGTGGTGTGTGTGTTTATTCAGGAACATGTGGATCTGATGAGTGCGAGGAGATTGGTGCAGTATGGCACAGTTGCAAGTCGTTGACTATAATTGATTTTTAATGGGCTGGCTACCTGCCACCAGATGTTCATCAATTAGGTATGCTTTAAAAACCAACACAGCTGCTTATTTCATGCTGACTGTCAGGTGGCTGAGGTATTGTTACATAGCATAAGAAGTCAGCTCTGTGCGAGGTGACCATAGTACAGTTTGCTCTCGAGCAGTTGTGATGTAGGCCTATAATTATTAATAACACCTCTTTCTCTTTCTCACAATGTCCCTGTTTGGATAGTAAATCACATGGGCATCCTATCTATTTGTCATGCTGTTCCATGCATTGTACAAAGTTAAGTTAGACGTAGATCTTGTCCTATAGCAGCAAATAATTCTTATTAACATTATGCACAAAGTAGGTTTTACCTCTGAATGTCATTGAATTTTAGAGTTGGTTAGTCCAACGCTTCATGAGAACTGGTTCATCAATTGTTAAGTTAGTTTTTACCAACTTACCTCTGCTTCCCCTGTACCTATTTGCAAAGCATCATCCCAGCTTCCTCCCTTTATCTTCTT